TATATAAATCATTTTTTGATCACCTTTGGATTTGTGGGTGGTCTTTTCGTTGGTTAATAAAAAGGTAAGCTTTTGGCTGTCAACATCAGAAAAATTTTGAATTGTTCAAATTTCTTGATTTCTAGATTGATATGTCTTGCACCTTTTCCCAATTCTTCTGGGCTGTCTACGATTGCCTTGCTTTTTGTTGAGGATGACATGTGCAAATGTAAGATTTACTTTGTGCATGATGAAATCAAAGAGTCTTAAGTGTAATTTATCCCTCCAACAACTAGCTGTGACATATAGGCCTCCAGAATATGATTCGATCACTCTAACAGCTTATACTCTGGAGGGGTCCAAAAATTGGTGAGAAAGTCGTTTGGCTTAAAATAGTTGTGGTAATACATCACCTAATCCTCTTCTGTATTTATGGCTTTAAATTTCCGGCGCCTTGCCTTTTCTAACAACTGTAGCAATATGTATTCTTGAATGTGTCTATCCATCCATCTCATAAATGGACCACCCTAACCATACTGGATTTGATCCTTTTATTTTATGTTGGCTTCTTTTGCAAAAAAATATCTCTTTTGTAATAACTAATAACTTGCATGTTTTTGTTAGTCACCAAGATTTTGTTCCACAAAGGCATTAACTCCTTTATTGGCATTTTAGAAGAATTTCCTTTCATGGGATCCATCAGTAACACGAAGCTCTCCTGAAGGACTCCTCTTTGTTGTCCCCCTATTTTGTCATGCTTGAAGTCATTCCTTTTCTCATGTTAACGGCGGATCTCGAAATAAACTGCTTCTTCGGTTCTTAGTGAGTTAAATGATGCACTACTTTTGTGCTCCTTTTGTGTTTTGACTAAGTTGGAGATGCAGTTATACTCATCAAATCTAGTCCCTCAAGTTCTATGATTTTCTGATAATTGTACCTGAAAGATTCTTCTGAACCAGATAGATTGGCTTGCATAAATTGTAGCTTACATAGAACGGAAGATAGCTTAACGTACTAAGAATGCACGATCTCATGTTTACTGAGATACAATAGAGAAAAGGATAGCTTTGAACTCCCTTATCCCCCCAAACTAGCAGGAACTGGAGTCATCCTATGCATAGAGAAGGCATTAGCTCAGTCAGGGGTATCCAAGGAAGATGTAAACTACATTAATGCGCATGCTACATCCACACTAGCAGGAGATATTAAGGAGCATCAAGCTCTTCTCCATTGCTTTGGCCAGAATCCAGAGGTTAGATTGAAGTTCTCTTATTGAAATACTGTGCCCATACCATTCCTCTCAGGTTTTCATTTCAACTGTTTATCAGTCGCTGCTCCATGTTTTCAGTTGCGAGTTAACTCCACAAAATCTATGATTGGTCACCTGCTTGGAGCTGCTGGTGCTGTTGAAGCTGTGGCAACTATTCAGGTGCTGTTATCTCATAATCCCTCAAAGTGTGGTGCAGCTGCAATTCAGTTGCTTTCTAGTTTATTGTGTAACATCTCATCCAACTATTTTCTTGCATAATGTTATATTTGCTGGCTGAAAATTTGTGGTATAGCGGTGTGTGTAGCCTGTTAGGTGACTGTTACATTATTTTGGTGTCAGACTGTTGAATAGACTAAATCAATATTTTATTTATGTAACATCTAATTGAATTAGAGAAGGTCTTTATTAATTCACATATCATACTATTTTTCGCAGTCCTTTAGGGGGAATTGGGGAAGCAACAAATGATTTGGTTCCTTGCTTGCTTGTTTTCTTCAGACCTTAGTTGCTTTTTGTGAGAGAACTTGTGGCTGCTAAGACAGCACAGCAAAAGCTGTTTTACTGAGGAAGCTGCACATTTTTAAAATTTTATAACATGAATAGCTTTCCTTTTGAGTTTGAGTTCAATCATTGATATCATATACAGTAAAAGAAGAAAAGATATACATGGCCGTCACCGTCATTTGTGAGTGCAAAATGCAAATGTATGCCAATTGGTATAGAGGACATGTTGTGTGACCTAAAGAAGGGGGAAGAAAAGGGACTGGCTGACCTTTTGCAGAGAGGAAAATTACTAAATGCTACCTGCTGGTCTTAAAGATGTCGAACTGCTACTCAATGTAACCTCAAGTAGACATAAATGACTCGTAGGAATAGAAACATCAACTGACTCGGGAATCTGGAAAAACTAAACCTAAGTGATGATGCCATCCTTTAGAATTGTTACTCTTTCAAGTTAAAGAATTTCCGAAGGGTTATGATTTACTTCTGATCTACCTATCTGAAGTGTTGAGCATAAACCTGGCAAGAGTAGCAGTAAGGAGTTGGGTTTAGACCTGTATATAAAAAATGAAGAGCATGGCAACGTATGTGCAATATCTTGTTGATAGCTGCACCGTTTGAGATCCAAATCCTCCGTCTCCACTTTGTACAAAGTTCATCCTCTTAAAAAGGTGCTGTATAAATGACGGAACGGGTATGCAAGCCTTAACTACCCAAGAATTAGTTTCTAGCCGAGGAATCTGGGTCTTCTTATTCGGCATATTCATCTTTGGAGCCTTAATGCTAATAGTGGTATATAGACCAACTTAGTCAAGGTGAGGGTATGCAGTAAAATGAGTTCTTGTAATGTTTATTGTAGCCCGGAATATTGTGTCCTGTGTAGTTTCTGATGCTTTTCATGTTGGATGGAGGTTTTCTTGTATTATCCTCCATCAAAAGACGACGTCTCAAAGTTACCCATGAATCCTTGCCTCGAAGTTAAATTGTCCATGCTACATCAATTTGTTATCTGAAAATGTTGCTACAGATGTTACAAGTTATAATATAATACAGGTATTTTGCAATTCGATGACTATGACGAATTTTTATATACCAAAATTACTCCGTTAGGCCTGGGTTAGATCTTCTCTGATATTTAGACTAGGGAAATAGACATGACAATAATGACACTTCTGAGGTCTCTGTGTGTGTGTGTATGTGTGTAAACAGGTTAAACTATACTAGACTTTTGGGTGTAATCTAAAAGCTTTTGGTAACTAACTGTTTATCATCAAATAATAGGGGAAAAAGAAGATCTGGAAAAAGTTTATTGAAAGTTTTATGTACAAGGAAGACATAAAATATTCATAAGAAAAAGACAGCATACTTGTACTATACGTACCATATTCATAAAAGTTTATTTTAATCTGACATTTGAAAGAAGAAAACCATACGTGTAACATTTACAAGGAACATTGGGGTGGGAGCCTTGACACAATGCATAGGGGGAACTTTCCATAGTGGTTATTTTATTATTTAGAAATAGTTGCTTTTTGCAATCATTTTCGCTGCTGCGAGTTACTCCAGCTTGAAGTTGAGAGCTCTAAATAATTGGAAGTAGAATAACTTCGTAACCTGAAATTATTCAAATACATGTTGATTAAAGAAGCAAAAGAGCCAAATTTTATCTGAGTTTTGTTATTATGTGGGTATACTCTTTTATTTTGGCTACAAATGGAGCTATAACAGTTGTTTTTCAAAAAAAGGAATTTTAGGATAAGTGACTAACTATTTTGAGATAATTCAAGGATCATTTACTTCCTCGTAGTTGACAGGTGATGCAGAGTGTAATTGATGTTAGACTAAAGTCATCTCTGTTCTTGAATATGCTATACAATGTGATCTGCGCTAGACAGTGGAGAGGATGATGAAGATAGGCACTTTCTGGACATTTACTTTAGCATTATGCGGATTCATGTTTTTGCTAATTTATTGGTGATAAAATATCTGATAGGAACTAGATGTTGCAGAATTTATTCTTAAGGTGATTGATTTTTGTGGATCACATCCTATAAAAATCTCTTGATTATACTTTTGAACGTGGCCCTTCTTTGCTTAACCTTTGCAAAAATTATCTGGCTGGAATTTCAGACTGACAGTTAAGTTGGGACTTTGCAGGCAATACGAACTGGTTGGGTTCATCCAAATATTAATCTTGAAAACCCAGATGAAGGCGTGGTAAGGGCTTATCTTCTGTTCATTCTCAACGATTTCTTGTCATTTAAGCATGATTTATCATCATACCTATAGAATTTCATCAGATGAAAACTGCAAAGAACACTTGCGTGTCAAGAGTACAGAGTTGGTCACCCTTCATGACTTGACTAGCTACATTTAAGATGAAATTCATAGCTTTTCTGAATTCGTTGCTGTATCACCAAAAGCTGGTTTCCAGAGGAGTCTCTTATAGAAATGAAAAAACAGTGGCCATGTCTATTGGTTTGATTCACATTGTCTGCATTAGTCGACTAATCTCTCATATTGCAAGCAAGACAGATTTCTTTATGTGATATGAGTACAAAGCATTTGATATGTTCTCTCTCCCCCGGTTCCCCCTATTGCACCTTTTCACCCTTAGTTGACCTGGTAATCACAGCAGCTGATGATATGTATTTCAATGAAACAGGATACAAATAAACTTGTGGGTCCCAAAAAGGAACGACTGGATATCAAGGTGGCATTATCTAATTCATTTGGATTTGGTGGCCACAACTCATCAATCTTATTTGCTCCTTACAAGTAAATCTCTTGGGCAATGTTGGTGCATCTGACAGATACAAAAGGTATGTAGATTCATGCTTGTCTGTATTGAGGAAGTGAAATTTTTTTTTAAAAGGCGTGTATTTTTGAAGAGTGCATTTAAGGAAGTGTTTAATTAGTTTTTGGTAGGGAACAATAGAGGGGACCAAGGATCACTAACTTAACATGTAAAAACCTAGTTGTTTGTCTTCTAAATAGAGGGAAATCTAACTTCATTCCCTTCTAAACTTATGGAACTTAGTCCATACTAAACCCCCATGCAGCAGTGATCGAAGTAAATTTGATAATATTAACTCTGGAAAAAGAGAGAATCCCGCGAGCTTGGAAAGCAAATGAAACACTTCTGCAGCGAAAAGCAAATGAATCAAGCCTCCATTTCCCTACTTCCTTTTTCCCTCTCTTACAGTTATCGGCTCCCCCCCCCCCCCCCCCAAAAAAAAAAAATCATTAAACATAATAACATATGTTTCATTTGTTTCAGGAATATTGGGAAGGATCCTTAATTCCAGAGTTACATGGACACTCTTAGAAGAGACCTGTGTCTCAAGGAATTTGTATCTTTTGCAAGATAGTCGAATGGCGGTGGTACTCCAAGGTAGAGAATTCCTTTTTAGATGATTGTTGGAGACAGAAGAACCTGAAGTGCAGAATGGGCAAAGGATCAACTTCTTCTCCATAGTGTGACAATCTTCTTGTCTCTTTGCTAAACTGAAATCTGTTTTCTTATATATCCTTACACATAACAGCCAAATGATTTATGGAAACTGAGTTGGCGTATGACCTTTAGGTGGTTGCATATGGCCCTTAATACCAAGTGAACTAGTTTCCTTGTATAATCGGAGAATGCCATATAATCTATAACAGCTTTTAATTTTGACTTTCCAAGATTTACTGCACTTCTTGACATTTATTAACTTGAGTGGACAAACTCTTAATAACTTTCACAAGGGGAGAAACGGATGATTACATTTATATCCCATGAAGGTGTTTGCGTCTTTAGCTCAGATTAGTGGATCACGGATATTAACTTGATTAATATATATTTTAATCTAATTTGGATGACGTAATGATCATGAAATAGTTTATGAAAAAATTCTTATTGAACAAGATTGTAAAAGATGTTATAACGTCACTACCGCACACGAGCATAGTCGTCACGTTACCAGACTGGAAAATATTGTTATGTTTAGACTATAAATTCGTGTACTAATTAAACTGAAAATTTGCGGATCAGAACAGGCCCTATTTAACATAGGCGGATCCAGGCTTTTTGAAATTTTAGTGATTTTCACATATATAACTATACTCCGTGTCGAAAATAAGACCGTCCGAATTTAAATTTGAACAATCAATTTCACTTGTAGAGATGCACTCAATAATTATTTCACCATAGGAGTCTTTAAGCATCATATGTGCACGCATACTTAAGTAATTTTAAAAAAAAATATAGCATTGTTATAAATGATTTAAGGAGATATACACCTCTGGGCCCTAATAAAAGAACGAGCCAATTTGCTGAATTGAGTACGTTGCGTTGCAACAATTGGTTGGAGAGAAACTTGAGGCAGCTGAACTTTTCTACTATCAAAACCACGTACTAAAAGGAAATCTCTCTGGGTTACAACTTACAACAGCAATTCAAATGATTTCGAAAAATTTAGACAATCACATGTGACTCACATTACTTTCATGCACCAACCTACTGCAATTTGGTAAGAATATTACAAACAACCAACTTAAATAGCTAGCATTTGACGCATTTGCTAATTTTCCTATGGAAACTACGTATACTCGATTTCCTTCCTACTTCCTTTTCCTCGACATTCCTATCCAAAAAACAAATCACTTCAACAGGCGATATACAATTATACATGGACGAATTAAATGACAAGGTGACGTCAAAAAGGAACATGGGGCCGCCAGATTGCTAGAAGCCCCAAGTGCAAACTATGGCACAAACTAGTGAGCCTCTGGGCTGAGCTCTCCATTTTGACCTAGCATCAACAAAGCAGACTTCACACCTTAGTCTATTTGGCGCTGGCTTTCTTTTTAGTCTTGACTCTCTTTGCGGACAGTATGGATGATGCACTCTTGCCTTCAAGATTCTTTGTTAGCTTCACAATGCTTGCCATTCCTTTTCGTGCTGCTGCCCGATGTTCAGGCCTACGGCTCATCATCTTGCGGTCAAGGGGCCAGTAGGCATATGGCTCAAGTTTGTCTTTCCTCTTGACATCACCACCTGCCTTCTTGCTTGCATATTCTGTTCCAGTGTAGGCCCATCCTGAATCAGATGTTTTCCTCCGTTTCTGAGTTTTCCTTGAGCTCTCAGATAAGCGACTTCCTGCTTCGCTCCTTACATCAAAATCATTAGTAGGTGGCACTTGTTTTTGCTTCTTATCTCCCTCTTGAATAATCAAACGGCCTTCAGAGTCTATTTCTGCTTCATCTTCTGACTCCGACTTCCGCTTGAGATTGCCAGATCCTCTAAGAGCTGACCTGGTCTTCTTCTGGTCAAGTAAGTCAAGTGGCTCGTCGTCTAATTGATCATACAGATCTTCCTGCAAACTCTTGGCTGCTTTCCGTGTTTTCTTGGACCTGGAAATATGGCATACAAACACTCATCTTACATGTGAAATATAGTCTAAACTAGAAAGCATCACTAAAAATTACACTAGCTTCCACCATCTGTAAAACATCCTCAGGACGATAAATAGTAACCATTACATATTAAAACATTCCCACTGACCGTAATAAAGATGCTTTGGAGTCTGATGCTAATGTAGCCTTGCTCCTACGACCAGTAGTAGTTTTTGCGTCCATATATTCTGCATCACTATTCTCAGATTCTCCATCATCATACTCAGAAAAGATTTTTGTATGATTCCACCTGCTTAGCCTGTAACAGGACAGAGACGTTAATACCATAGGTATTTAAACTAATGCTTGAAAAATTACCAAGGCACTGAAAATAAGAGCTTCTTATCCATGCAGAGGACAAAAAGATTAGTGATCCAAAGAGCCATAGTCCACCTTACTTGGGATAAATCTGAATATTGAATATTGGTAACCGCCAAAAAAAAGGCAAATATTTTTTTTTTTGCTGATAAATAAACTTATCCAAATCAACAGAGGTACACAAAATACTCCAATATATCTTAGTTGCTTCCCATGTGTCAAGCATCAAATATTCTTCTGTGTATTATTCTCAACTTCAGTATGCAGGTATATAGAGGAAAGAGAACAACCTTGATGTTGTTGCTTTTGACATATGAGATCTGCTTTCCTCGGAATTCGACGCGAGTTTCCTATCACTTCGCTCCTTGATCTGCTTTTTCATCAGAAGAATAAATAACTCATCTGAACATTTAATATCCCACGAGCATTTTCACAGGTTTAATTCCAGTTCATAACAAACCTTTCTTATATTAGTAAGGAGTTTCATGTGGTCTTCAGGCATCACCTCTTTTACAGCATCCAGACCACACTTCTTGATAAGCATTTCAATAAGCAGCTTAACCTATGAAAGATAACATACACGCAACCACCTTCCAATCAACAAGCCATCTTTATAACAGAAAAGAGATTCCAAAAACCAAAATTATATAAGACCATGGAAGATGAACTAATTGCATACAGGAACCAAAACCAAATGAAAACACAGTAGTTTAGGATCTAGGAGAAACAAAACCTTGGCTTTGAAATGCTTCTTGGTATTATTTTCCCAACCAAGAAGGGCCTCTACCATGCTCCTTAAATGTGCTTGTAGTCCCTCAGCCGGCGACTTTGTGACCAGTACCTTCAATAGCCCTAAATTAGCCTGCACTTAAGACAAGTTTCAGGTGAGAAAAACTTCAGAATATGGCAGGTGAACACTGGTTTTGCACAATATAGTCTTAATGCAGACTAGAACAGACCTTAATTATTTCTTTGTTCTCTCTCTTAAGGAGAAGAAATGTTGATGGAAGGACACTGTACGCAGCAGAAACAAGGTCGGTGAATTCATAAGCCAGGCGAGCTACGCCTTTAACTGCTGCACTGATCATATGAGGTGTATCTCCAGCAATACCCCCAGCAACCTGCAAGTGAAAATGCCAAGGACAATAGTGCCTATGTCAAACAGAAAGAGCCCACTCCATTACGTAAATTCATCAAACTATTACTTATCGTACCATAGTAAAAAACTGATGCAGGTTCTCCTTTCTGCCACCTCTTTCTTCATCCCCACAAGCATGGCCAATCTGGACAAGAAGCTCATACGCTCGGTTCCTTGTTTTCTTGTTAGGCTTACATGGAATCCTCAAAAATCTCAGTACAGGAATTAAATAATTATAAATGTTTTACATTTATAAACCGTTCTTCCACCTAGGCAGCCAAGAGCCCAAGACTAGTTAATGGTGAGAAAGTTATTAATAGCCTGTTTGGCCAAGCTTCTTCCTAGTCCAAAAGTGATTTTAGGTGTTTGGCCAATTTTTTTTTTTTTTTTTGGGGGGTGGGGGGGTTGCTTTTGGGAAGCATTTTTTGAGAAGCAGAAAAAAGCAGATTCTCCCCAGAAGTAGAAGCAGTTTTGACTTTTCTTCTTACCAAAAATACCCTTAGCAAAATGTAGTATATTCCAAAATAACTTTACTTATTCTAAACCTAATACTTAGGATATTAATCTATAAATATTTTTCTTATTTTTAGGATAGCTTTCTAATATATAGTGACTTTTGGGGTGAATATTTTTATATTTGTTGAATAATTTTTTGATATATTTAAATCATCTTGAAAGAATTAAAGTACTTTATAATTTTATTTTCATATTTCACTTAAATAAAATAAAAAAAATTAATTATTATCTTTGATAATAAATATTTAAAATTATTTATTTACTTATATAATATTAACTATTAAGTACGTAAATCTCTTCATGTCCTAATTCGTAATTTGATACTTAAAACACTTTTTGAAAAGCTTGGCCAAACACAAATTATTATTCGAACGTGCTTTTCAGATTGATTAGCCAAGCACAAACTGCTTCTCTCCAAAAGTACTTTTTCGAAAAGCACTTTTGAAAAAAGCACTTCTCAAAATAAGCTGATTTTTCAGCTTGGCCAAACAGGCTATAAGTTACAAACTTCTAAAAGCTCTCATAGCAAAATGATCATGAAAGAAGATAGCAACTGTTTTAAGCACTAACTTGACCATTTTGCTAAGTTACCCAATCCTAACGAGAAATCAAAGACCATTAATCGAGGCTATAAGTAACAAAACAATCTTTTACCCGGGATTTTGTGGTAATTCAAGGACACAAACCACATGAACTAATAACAAAAATAAGGAGAAGGATGACAGTTGGAAAATGCAGAGCTCAAGAAAATGATAAAAGTCCACGAATTTTGGAGTCAAGTATCAGCAGAAGGAACAAGACTAACTGTAAACTGATGGAAGTAAAAGAGGAGAGAACAAAAATGTGGATAGTGAGTGTAGTTTGTACAATCGTTTTCCATCCGGGACCTACAAAAATTAATGCTTCGCCCACTGTACTTCAGAATGCCGTTTCACGTGGAAAGACTACTTAACTTGTAGCATGAATAGGCTAGAGACTTTTAAAAGTTAGAGGACATACTTCAAGCCTTAGGAAAAAAAAATATATATTATGAAAACCTTGATAATAGCTAGCAACTTGTAGCCACTGCAATTAGCAAAAGGCTCAAACTTGATGCTAGAATAGCAAAAAGACTAAAGATATTAATAGAGCATATATTTCCTATAGATTCATCCCTCTATACCAACTATGGGAGAAAAATCATTAAGGATAAATGGGCACATTTACAGCAAAATAAATTCCTTTGAAAAAAAAAATACTAGTCAGCTCTATAGCAGATGAATAATAGACAAACCTC